GCTGGGTTGTCAGAGCGCGGTGCGGGGAGCTGGCCCGGAGCTGAGGGCGGCGGTGGTGGGCTCTGGCCAGGGACAGCACCGGGGCCGGGAGGCCCCAGCACTGGTGGAATCCTCCAAGTCCCGGGTGACAGCGGCGGCCGTCGAGGGACAGCTAGGAGGCTGTGGGTCCCGCTGTTTGGGTTCCTGGGCTCGGAAAGACATGACTGTCAGGGCTCCGGGACTCCAAGTGGGTATTCTCACTTCACCTAGACCCGCATCTGCTATGTGCCCAGGTCTGCGCTGTCTGTGTCCAGTAAGAGGGTCCGCGGGTCTCCTCTCCCCCCATCAGCCTGAATAGTCGGCTCACACCCACCCCTCTCTAGATGCTCTGGGGAGCTGGGAGTGAAAGAGGAGGAGGAGGAGGGGTTGCGGGTGGCAAGTCTGAGCCAGGCAACAAACAGCCTGCAACGCTGACCAGGCTGGGGTTGGCCTCCAGGGAAGAGCAGAGACCCCTTCAGGCAGCCTTGAAAAGTCAGGCTAGCAGGAGCACGGGTGGGAGAGGTAGACAGTCATATATATACATACACCCTCTAGGCATGGCCCAAGAGCCAAGTAGGAAGAATAACTGACTGGTGGGACCACTAGGAAATCATCTGCTCAAGTCCGTTCTTCTTCCCAAGACTAGGGGTCTCTGAAGCCTTACTAGTGTCTTCCCACAGGGGCAGGGCTCTGAGCCAGAGCAAGAGGAGGCACTGACCACACCATGCCTAGAGTCTTTACCATCCTGACCTTGTCCTCGCTGTCCCCTCAAAACGCCGTCGTGCTCTGGTGGAACCTCCCCAGGATGCTGTCTTTTCTCCTTGGCAGTTGGGGATGGCCTATATGGTCCCATGGCACCAGGGGACATGGGGACCACCCTATTGCAAGTGCCCCAGTACTGTGCCAGCAAGGGCATTACATTCTCTGCCCAGGACTATAAGGCAGCCCCAGGTTGCTCCATCCTTGGCCTGGTTCATCTGTCTTTCTAGCATTTCAGAGAGTAGCAGCTATGCCCCACAACCTTAAAGAATGGCCTTTGCCCCTTTGTCTGGCTCACTTCTACTGCTCCTTCAAAATTAATCTGACTCTCCCAGGTGATCCCTAAAGGCCCTGGCTGCCCAGCTTCCCTGTATCGCTTCCTGCAGCATTCCCATGGCACTAACACTGGGAGCCTGCAGACCAGAGACCACCTAGGTCACAACCTGTCCAGGACACCCCTGGGGTCCTCCCTACCTTAACCACAAGACAGGCTCCCAATCAGCCCAGAGTGTGTCCTGGAGAGCAGGGCCTCAGAGGCCTCTGAGTCATTCGTGCACACATTCATTCTCACATGCATGCATTATTTTCCCTTCCCTACTCCATATTCATCCTATTCCATACCAGCACTCTGAGACAAAGGACTGAGCATGGCAGGCATTGCCTCACACCCTTGAGAAACTCAAAGTTTAGTGAGAAAGAGATTTTAATCAGCAAAACACACATCTATTGAGTTCCAGGCAGGAACAAAGCCAGTGTTCTGCCAGAGATTCTTCACGGGTTCAGAGTGGGCAAATCCAGCCCTGCTCCTGCCAGTGCTATCCTGGGGTAGTCAGTTGGCCTTAGGTTAGAGCAGCCCTATGAGAGCAGGTCCTAGTTGAAGGTTCACTTTAGGAACCACCCTATCCCATTGGGGGGCCCAGAGAGGACACTGGTCTGGTCAGGGTGGTCAAATTGGGGGCAGGCCTGTGATAAGGCCCCTCTACCCTACTGTCAGGGTCTGACCTCAAGGAGCCGGGCTGAGGTCAAGTGGTGGAAGGTGAAGGGTTCCTAGCAGGCCTATGTGCCTATTGTGTTGATGCCTACCCCTTATTGGTCTTCAGGTTCACACCTCTGCTTCCCTGCTTCCTTGGACCAGGAGTCACCAAGATGCCCATCCTGGAAAAAATTTCCCATAAGATGGCAGCAAAAACTCCCAGCAGTGAGGAGGAGTCTGTAAGTGACACTTGGAGCCCTCTCTCACATCTCTTCTCCCCACTCACATGCTCTTGCTTCTAGAATAGTACTAAGTGGAATTGCCCCCAGCACTTGCCTGGCTCCCAGTCCTGCACTCTACTGGGCATGAGATCCAGGCTGTATCCCTGCCCCACGCTTGCTGAGGAGCCTGAGAAGGCTTGGAGGGGCTAGGAGCAGCCTCCGAGGATGCCAGAGGAATGTTGACAGCCACACTTCCTAATCTCAAGGTCAAGAAGAGCCCTGGACCTAGGCTAAGTACTATCTATCCTCCCAGAGTCTCTCCTCACCCCAAGTTCCACTTCTGATAGCTTTGAGCCTAGTGGGGTTGCCTTAGAGTGGAACTGAATTTCCTACTCCAAGCCATGCCGCCTCTCCACTCCAGTTACTATCACTGGTTCGGCCCTGGAACCTCAGGCACCATCTTCTCCCCTAGCTTGAGACAATTCCATCTTCCCTGGGCAGGCATCCTCCTTCCCACTGTGACTAGACTTCAGATAATAGAGCAACATCTGATTTCAGGTTGTTGGACCTGAATGTGTTGGTCCCTCTCCCATATGTGTATTTTTGTCACCCCTTCCTCCCTTCCCCCAGTCTTCATGTGAAACCCTGATCAGAACTGTTTGGCTTCTCCCACGTTACTCACTACACTGCCCTGACCTCTGCCGCTGAAAAATATCAGTTGTTACCTCTGGTCCATGACATGCTTCCCTCCACCCACTCCATTGGGCTGTGGCTTCCTGTCATCTCAGTTCAGCCCAGAGTCTGCCTCACATTAACTACCCAGGAAACAAAGTGACCTGAGACTCCAGGGCCCAAAGACCCTCATTAGTACAGGGTCAGAATTTCAGGATTGTCTGGCGAGGAACCTTGGTGGGGACTGAGATGTTCAAACTGAGATTTCCTGCTTCATTCTTTTTCACACACCACTGATTCCCTGTTACCCAGGCAGACTTCCAGCACACTGTCTGAGCCCAGAAAAATGGGGGCAGTTTCTAGTGGGGGATCCAGTCAGACCTGCTGAACCCCAGCTGGGCTGGGCTTTCTGTAGGTGCTTACCCACCCACCCATCACAAAGACCACCCTCTACCATAAAAGAATGAGAAACTAGAGCAGTTGGAGGGAAAAAGGTGAACCTGGCTTGCCTAAGATGCTGCCTAGACCTATCCTCACATTACTCCTCGGGGCAGGAGCAGCCTGTAGTTGGCATTGACACTCCACCCCTGACAGAACAGTGAACTCTAGACAGGATCAGACAAGCAGAGGGCCATCATTCATTCATCAGCGCACACTCATCAGTCTGTCCACCTCTGCCCAGAGTGCAGCAACAGGGGCAGAGCAGAAAGCATTCAAGGACCCCCTCACTCCACAGCCTGCTGGGGTGGAGATGAGCCCTTGCTGTCTTGTGAAAGCTCACCACCCCACAAAGCAGAAGTCCGTGAAGGAAGGCATCCCACTCTCTGCTACCTTTGTACAGTTTAAGCAATAATATTAAAATCCCTGCTTTCCTATTGTCACCAGCTAAGTGAAGAAGGAGAGGAAGGAGATGGAAAGGGAGTGAGGGGGAAAGGGAGAGAACAACAGAAGAGAAATAAACAAAATGGATGTTGAAGACTGATTTCAGCTCCCAGTTCTGCCACCAGAATGTTGTGTGACCTTGGACTAGTCTCCCCATTCTCTGGGACTCAATTTCTGTTTACTTATTCGTAAGTGGGACAAAAAGCCTTGCCCTGGCTAAGTCACAAAATTGAAGACACACATGATGAGATCCCTAGGTGAGTGTGGTTGGTGAAGTGGAAAGCACAGCGCCATGTAGGAGGATAGGGTAGGGGGTTCTGCCCAGACTCTAGCCACACTTTGGGTCCCCCAAAGGTTATGTGTTTCCTCTTAGGAATTCCTCCGTAGCGAGAAGGACAGAGGGATCACAACACTTTAGATGTGCCTATTTAGGGTCAGTTGTTTATTCCATTTAATTCTCTCTGTGTCTCTCTCAGGTAGGAATTGCTATTTATGTCCTATGGATGTGGAGCTGAAGCTTAGGGGGATCTGGAAAGGAAGAACTTTCATTGCATCATCCCTCGCCCCCAGGCCGTACTCCTGATACTCACATGGAGCAAAATTCCCTGCTTGGGTTTTATAACTAGGAGGGACTTACAAGGAGCTCAGGCCATGAGTCATCTTCTTAGGAAACATCTTGCAGAATTTTGGTCATTAGGGCAGCACTGAATTATATTTCCCATCCAAAACCATCCTTTACCCTTCCAAATCTCTGCATAAGAGCAGAGGCCTTCAAGTTCAGAGGTTAATTAGATTCTGGAGCCCAGCTGAAAACAATTCTTAAATTAAGAGTGACCAACAATATCAATAACACAGGACTATTTTTATCCTAGATTCATTCATTATGGTTTATAAGCACTTTCATATCTATTGTCTATCTCTTTGACCCTATGAGAGGTGAGGATTATTACCTGCATTTTACAGAGGAAGAAACTGGGGCACAGAGGGAAGATGACTTGCCCAAGATCACACAGCTGGTCAGAGGCAGGGTCAAAGTATGAAACCAGGTCTGTCTGGTGTCACCATCATGGTCTTTTCCTCTGAATGATGAAGAATGGGAGAAGGGAGTGATGTCCTGGGGACAGAGCATGATGAAGGCAGGGACAGCATATAGGACCTTCTTAAATTCATAATTATGCTAAGCCAAGCCCCAGAAACAAACAGGTCCTAAGACAGTGAATAAGGATAGGGACAGAACAAGGGAAACACTAGGGACAAGCTTGGGGACAGGCATGGGCCACACATAAGGACAGGTACAGTGCCTATGAATTCTCTCTTCCAGGGGCTGCCCAAACTACCAGTGCCCCCTCTGCAGCAGACCCTGGCCACCTACTTGCAGTGCATGCGACACTTGGTACCCGAGGAGCAGTTCAGGAAGAGCCAGGCCATCGTTCAGCAGTTTGGGAGCCCTGGTGGCCTTGGTGAGACCCTGCAGCAGAAGCTCTTAGAGCGACAGGAGAAGACAGCCAACTGGGTAAGAGTTGCTGGGTGGTGGTGAAAGGTGGGTGTCAGAAAGGGACCTACAGGAGAGGTATATTATACCTGGGAGGCAGACCTGGAGACAGACAGAGGGATTTGGGTGAGGGGTAGGTAGGGGAAAAAGATGGGGCAGACAGGGAGATGGGAGACAGGGATGGGAGACAGATGAGAACAAACAAGTGGCATGAACTGGGGAACAGCAAAAGACAAGGGTGAGGGGCAGACAAGATGAGGGATGAAAGTTATGGATGGGGAAAGAAGAGGGACAGATGGGGAACAGAAATGGAGGGGGTAGATGGGAATAGAGATGAGGTCAGGGAAACAGAGAGGGTGAAAATCATGAAGGAGATATACATAAGGACAAGCAGAGGACAGGGATGTAGCACTAAACCACCAGGACAGGAAACTGGGATGGAAGAAGGGAGACAGTATGGAGCAAAGATGAAGGATGGGCTCCCATGTGGACTGTGGAGCACCCGGGGTCCTAGCACATAACTGGGGCTCAGTATGTACTTGAGTGAATGAATGAATGAAATAAATGCTCCAGTGAAGTGTCCTGATTTTCTCTGGGGGCTTCCAGGATGGGACCAGTGTTCTTCATGGGCAAGATGCCCTTGCTTGGGAAAGATATGATAGTGCCCTTTTCTGTCCTCCCCAACAGGTATCTGAATACTGGCTGAATGACATGTATCTTAATAACCGCCTGGCCCTGCCTGTCAATTCCAGCCCAGCTGTGATCTTTGCTCAGCAGCACTTCCAAGATACCAACGACCAGCTAAGGTGAGGCCACAGTGCTCCTGGCTCACAGCTGGGGGATCTGCCCAGGGCAGGGGGCCTGGTCCCAGTGCCAGAAAGGAAAGGCTGAAGCTAATGCCTTGACTGACCTCCTTGGAGCCAAAAGCCTCAAGACAGTGGACATCCTTCAGCCAAGGCTGAAGCTAATGCCTTGGCTGACCTTCTTGGAGCCAAAAGCCTCAAGACAGTGGACATCCAGCCTGTCGGGTCAGGAAGGAGGCTACGCTTGAGTAACAAACACATGGTCTGCCTTGGAATATATTAAGCTTTGGTGAGGGGAGTACTAATGGAGGAGATGGACCCCATGTGTCTGCAAGGCAGTTTTGACCTGGCTTAGGCTCTGGGAGGAGGCCTGTGCCCTCGGACCTCGCCAGTACTTGTCAATGGATGCACTGCCCCAGGCTGTCTGAGAGGGGTTGTACTGCCCTCCAGAGCCCCCAGCTCTAAACAGAGGCCTCGGAGGGGGTGGAAACGATTCCTCCCTGCCAGCCGCCAGAGCCTGTGCCATCTGCTGCAATTTTAGAGCTCACTGAGCCGCTGGAAGGGCCTCTGGGCCGGCTGATGACAATGAGGATGTGGGTGGGGAGGAAGGGTCTCCCTGCTGGAGTCTTTAGGAGTCTCTGTTCTCAAGACCAGAATGGCGCAGATGATGAGGACAGCTCAGAAGGAAGGCAGGCCAAAGTGGACTGAGGAGGGCCCACCTCACCTTTGGGCAGGGCTCAGTCATGCTAGGAAGACTCCCCCGCCACACACATACATATACACACACCCCAACTGATTTGCTGACCAGCCCTTTCCCTTCCCCTGGGCAGAAGGAAGGTGTGGATGGATGAATGACTTCTGAAAACAGTTCTCAAAATTGCATCTGGGGGGGTATTTTCCTCCCAATGCAATTAAGCCAGACCTCATCATCCATAGACAGTTAAGATGACACAATCCCGTGGCACGGTTCCCTAGTGCCTTTTCCCCCCTGCGCTCACTTTCCTTTTCATTAGCACTAAGGGGGCCAAATTACTGACTTTTCCCAGGAGACTTGATTTTCCAGAACTCTAGAGGTCCTGGCCTAGTCCATCCCCAGGACTGGCCTTTCCCAGAAGAACTCCACCTCTTACCCTCCAGCCCCTGTCTGCCTGCCTGCTCTGTGACCTCTTCCGGTTTCTCTCTCCCTCTCCTCA